AAAGTGAATAATTTTCCTACTTAAGATTTTTGAAAGATATTCATTGCCTTACTCTTAAACGTAGATACTCTTCCTGACATGCTTCATGAATGGCCCCTTCCCTCTTTCACTTTATTTTGGAATTATAAAGTTAAATTTAAATTGGGAAAATCCAGTGTACTTAGAGATGGCCTTTGAATTTGGCACTCTGCCCTATGGACTTAAAGTTCTGAGCTGAACTTGATGTAAAAATGTAAGTATAAAGTAAATTTCAAGGAGTTTATAGGTTAGCACAGGAATTCTCGAATTTGAAAGTGGGTTAAGAATCACTGAGCAAATTGCTAAAAATGTAGATTTTGACCCTCACTTTAGAGATTTGGAGTCTGATTGGTGATCCGGGTGTATGTAATTTTAATGACCACCCACTCTCCCATCCCCTTATACACATACCAAGTGATTTTATTTAGAAATCCCACTGAAGCAGATCCAGCTGAGTAGGTAGAACGGAACTTCATTAAAAAAAATCTTTGAAAGCCTTAATATTTTAGACTAGGGTGGCACTGAGGAAACTTTCTATGAATTGTTTCACTTTATTCTACCTCATTTTTCTTCTCTCTCAATTGCCCACACTAAGGCTTGAATTTTTTGTTTTATTGTTTTGGCTTAAGATTCTCTCTTTCTGTATCAACAAGCTCCTAGGAAGAAAAATCAGTGATAGATTGCTTTTCATTTTTTCTCAGCCCAGTGTGAAGAGGCTGTACCCAAACTGTGTTCTAAATCAATCTTATGTGTTAGCTTACCAACATCCTTTTTTCATCTTGTACTAACTGGGACTTGTGATAAAAATCTAGCAAGTCAGGTTACCAGGCCAGGGCTGCTGGAGTAAGAAGGCAAATCACGTCTTTTTGATTGCTTGCTCTCCTGTGCTCACATTCAGCTTCTCAGGGGCAAAGGGTTCCCATAGTTTGGGTTTAACTGTTTGTAAGAACTGAAACAATTGGCAAGGACATGGAGAATTATAGTGTAGTGGAAGTGTTTGGAAGGAGGGCACTTGACAGGATGAATGAGGTATTTGGAGTTTCATCTTCCTATTTATGATGAAGGATCCATCAGCTCATTTCCTTAGTGCTACAGCATCTGTAGGGCATATTCTTTATCATGGGATTGAACCAGACCCCTGGCTGCTCCACAGTTAACTTGAGTCACTTATGCTTCAGAGGAAATTTATCGCTGGGTCCAGCAAACATACACAAAACATCTCAGTGTATACAGCCTTAGATTTTTCCAGTCTTCTGTGGAACTTCTAGAGGTATGGGCCAAAATGTAGGATCCACAAGGGCTAAGACCTTGTCTGTCTTACTCTTAGATATGTTCCTATTCCATATGTGTGGAGGGAACATAGTATTCAGTAAATATTTGTTGGATGAATTACTGCCACTTTATTGCTTCCCAACTTCAGTCATTTGTGTACTACCTTCACAAATTTTACAACATCCATAAAATAGCTGTGCTTTTATTGTAATAGTTTTTTATTCATTAATTTTTTACTTTAGCTTCGTGTTAGATAATATATGTGAAATCCTGGGTTATATCTAACACATATTAAAAACAAATAATAAAAAGGAAATATCTCATCTTGCACTACTCCAAACTATTGGGCATTCCAGCAATGGTATGTGTCCCTTGCTTTAGAAGATTTTAAAGATACAGTCATACTCTATGTGCTATCATAATGACATTGTTAGACTAGAAATCCCTGAAGAACTGTATTTTGCTTTGCTTCATTTCCTCTCTGGCTTTTTTAGAATGACTATTAGACTGGAAGTTTAGTTAATCCCACATGCAGAATGATGCATGAATTAAATATCACTGTATGAAGAGAAATCACCCTATCCAATTACAATTAGAACCTTAGCTACTGTATATATTTTTTGAATTGGTGGTTCTGAGAAATCTGTAATTATGGTTTTCCCCTACACTGACCTTGACCAGCACAGGGAGTTTCAGAATCTATCTAGAGAAACCGATTTCCAAAATTAACTCAGTCCTATCTGACATTTTACATTATTCCTCTTTGGCTAATTATAGTCCACAATAAGAAGTGATAACTTCATTTTAACACATGTAAGTATTTCAAATAATAAAAAGTTTTCTATAAAGGTGTATTTTCATTAAGATGAAAAAAGAAAAAATGAAGTGCATACATGTACTTAAATATATGATTGGATGCCTTGTAAAAGCAAGAGAATAGGCACAAAAGCTAACTGAATACATCTCAGGGACTACTTTTTGTTTGGCTCAAGACTTTCCGTACCTATTAATTAAATGAATAATGCCTTTGAGTTTTCTAAAAGAGGAATGCTGTCTCTTTTTTTGCTTATTGAAGTGGAGCCACACTACTTCAATAACCGTGTCATACAAGAGCTGTGCTTCTCTGAAGACTTAATAATTGCTGAATTGTCAACTCTTGCTGGGTTTAAATGACATCATCTTAATTTTGAAATATTCAACCTTAAACCTCAGTTTGAAGTAGCTTTTGAATATACCTTCAAACAGAAACCTCTGAGTGTAATTCCTCTAAAACATGAAATCCCTGTAACTCTTTCAATGAAGTTGTGTTGATGTTCCCCAGGGGCAGAGCTCTTCAATTCTGCTGACACCAGAGAGTTTCAGATTGCTGAAAGCAGAACCCCTTAGCATCTTCATTCCTTTTCAGTCTAGAATCAAGGAAAACTGCTAAATTCTAGAGAGTAACAAAAATCTTGAGTAAATATTGAACATAAACACTCAAAATATTTCTTATTCCTAAGCAAAATTGTGCTTTGCTCATGGTAGCCTAAGAAATGGCTATAGGTTAATTCTACTTCTTCAAGTCATTCAGAAGAAAATAATAAATATGACCTTTAAAACATTTTAGTGGCAATGTTATCATCATCTACTATCAAGAGCCAATTATTGTTAGCAATATTTAGGGTACTTTGGACAATGCTAAATCTCATTACTTGTTCAAAATTCGAAGTAACTTGAATTATTTTGAAATTACTATGTTACTTCTGAAAAATAATTTGATATGAATATTAATGCAAACAAGATACAAGGGCTTCAAAGAGGCTTTAATCAAAACATTTAGAGGAGAAATCTCCAATCTTAGAATAACCATTTTAAAACATTTTCTACCCTTACTTTTTCACTTAAGTAAATACATTTCTGTAGATTAATCCAAACAAATGCACATTTTTGAGAACAATAACAAGGCATTTATTTTTAAATGTTCTATGCTTACCATTTAATGGTGACCTTCCTTTTATATAGCTTAAGCTAATGACTGTGCTGTATTTTTGCCCACTGTCATAAAAAAAAAGTGTAAACTGCAGTCTGCCCAATGATGAGGGAATGTGAAATTATGCTTAGAATTAATCTGTCAGGTTAATTTAATCACTTTATGATTGGTTTTAAATTGGGCAGATAATCAGTGCTAACATTCCATTCCATCTCAAATTCACTGAGGTCTGGACAGTCTCATGGGATAAGAATAATTTATCAGTGGATTTTGGTTAGTGTGTGTACATCTTCACAAATCAGATAACATTCAGAATTTATATTCTATTTTTTGTAATAATAATCAGGGACCAGTCTATGAAAGGGTCATAACATCTGGTAGGAGTTGAAGATCTGAAACAACACAGTGAAATTCCTGGTATCATTTAAAGATCTTTTTGAAAACTTGTTCAATGGATGATTTTTTTTCCCCCCTGGAGAGAAGGTATCAAGACTATCTTATAAGCATCCTAATTGTAATTTAATCACATGTTTAGTACAGATTTCTTTGACAAGTTAAATGACTTTACATATAATTAAAAGGTCAATTGCTAGCAACTAAGGGACTATCTTAAAACAAACAGACAGTAAAGGTTTATTTTTCAATTTACTTTCCAAATATATAATTTAGGAATACTTATTTAACATTATTTCAATCTGACATTACATTAAACAAGCTAAAATTTAAATTCTTCGAGAGGAAAAGGTGATTTAAAAAAATGTAATATTCAAATTCTGAGCAAGCATTGGGAAGGTAAGAAGAGCTGGCTGAATTCTTAATGGTGAAAGGAGACTTTCATAGTAAGTTTAAATTTCCATAAAAATTATAGTAAGAACAAGTTGTCATTAAAAAAAATCTTGCTTTCCAAATGCACAATTTATTTGAAATAACCAGATGTAAAGATTAGCAACAGCAAGATTGTAAATAGGCTATTTTGCAGTTTAATTTGGGATTATTTACAAAAAGATATTGGCCAGAATATTTTGCCTACCAAAGTTTTCTAAATCACAGAGTAATTGCAATTGTAACAGAAAAAATTTTAATGTCCTTAATGTCTTCTTTCATGAAATCAGATCACAATGTTTTAGGTAATTAATATATTTCAAAACAATTTAATATAAACATTTAAGTAAAATTAAGTATAACATTAATGAAAAAAATTCTACTAACTTAATAAGATGAGAAAATCATTTTGATGATTACTAAATCTAATCTTGCAATGGAAACAAAGGAGAATATAAGAATTCAAAGCAAGGTCTACTGCTTTGAAATGAAACTGACCCTTCCTGCATTCAGAATGAATTTCAATTATGTTTAGAAGCCTAGCTTGTCAGTTGCATTTTCCTTGCTTTCCAAATGCACAATTTACTTGAAATAACCAAATTAGGATATGGATAGTGCTTATTCAAATGTGCACATGATGTCTTTCTTAGAATAAATAAAAGAGGCCTAAACACATTGATTATTTAGAATTTTCTTTGGATGTATCCATCCTCTCAATTGGGTAACAAAGTAAGTTACAAACAGCTGTTGGATATTTTGTGACTGGAAAGATATGTTATTAAATTGTATTCATATATAACATTCAAATATATTCCCTTTGCTATTATCCTTTGCCAAGGAACTAATTTAGAACTGCAAGGATTAAAATAGAGAATATGGCATTCAAAAAGGAAGAAAAAAGCATGTATAATCACCTCACCTGGGTAAAGCCTTCATAAATTGTTCAGCTCTGAAGGAGACATGGATAAAATGCAGTATGTATTTTTGAAAAGCAAGAAACTGAAGATTTGAGTACCTTTCCTTGTTCTCCTGTGGATTTTTCTGGGTTTTCTAAATCCAAAATCTGATTAGCATATTTAATCTTACGCAGCATGGGGAATGATCACCCATCCTTTAATCAGTCTATTATTATCTGTCTTAACCATCCCTAACAGTCTGTTTATATTCAAATATACTTTTAGTAAACAATGATGCACTGTATACTTTTGTAGCTTCAGAATTTTGATAGGGATATTTATTAAACACCCATACGATGTTCACATGGTGCAGATGAAAGGGAAGCAAGCCAAACAAAATCAAAAACATAAATGATCTAGTTCAGCTACTTACATGGGTTGGTTTAAGTATTAGGTAATTCATTTACCTTTGTGTAGTACACAGGGGCAGAAGCAGTATGGCATATAGTATGGTAGAGGTAATAGACTTTGATTCAGAAGACTTACATTTTAGTCAGTTTCTATATCTGACCTTGACCTTGGGAAAGTGACTTGACTTCTCAGATTCAGTGTGCTCATTTGTAAAACTGAGATAAGTATTATAGTTCCTGATTTAGAATTTTTAACATCCCATGAAATATGTAAATGAAAATTTAGAAGTACAGTTTAGAATCATAAATAAATGAAAAATTATTTCTACATATACTAGTAACACATGGAATTGGCCATAATTATTCAGGTGGTCTTTAATGAATGTTATTAATGCATAACAAAGATTTAGAAAGCTTGTCTATGGCTCTGCATGAACATAAATTATGGTATAAATAAGGAGTTGAAGGAAAGGAAAATGATGAGACTTGAAGGCGAAGAGGTAAATTGCTATGCTAAGGAAATTAGACTTTCCCTTTGTCCAAGGACAGTGAGGGGCATTGTTCTGAAGGGTTTTAAGTAAGGCAAAGACTAGATGAGATTGTTTCTTAGCAAGATCTCCTTGGCTGCAGTGTGAAGGATAGATTGGCAGTGAAACTGCAAAGTAGGGAGACCAGTGTAGGAGGCTGATGCAGAAACCAGATGAATCATCTGAAGTAGGATGGTGGCAGTAGACGGAGTGAAGAGGTAAAAGGAAAGAGAGGGAGATGTCGAGATTCATGAAGTATTAAGAAATAAAATGACAGGATTTAGAGATTGTTTGGCTGAGGAGTGGAGTGGGGTAGAGGATAAAGCAGACAAATTAAAACAGTGCCCAAACTTCCATGTTGGACAATAACACAGGAATACAGAAACAGGAACATGCTTAGGAAAAAAGATAATTTAACTTTAGACATGCAGTCTTTGGGAGGCTCTGGGTCATCCAAGCAGGTGTGTTAGACAGTTGGAGAGATACATTTGAGATCCAAATAACTAGTGAATAACCTGCAGAAATGTGTAGAATAGCAAGAGTAGAAGATTTGACCTGAAAAATAACCAAAATTTAGGAGACTAAAGAAGGAAACTGAGACTGGAAGTGCTTTTGTCAATACAGAGTTATTAAGAAACATCTTTAAGATAGCTCTGGTAAGAGAGGAAAGGATCTGGAATGAAATATTTGGGCTTCAGCTTTGGCTCTCCTATTTACTAACGACATGACTTTGAGAAGTTACCCCATTTTAGCCAAGTGTAAAATGGGGATAATAATACTAATATTCACTTTATGGGGTTAAGGATAAAATAATTGTCAGCCTTCTATATATAAAGTCGTGTAAAAATTACTAGTATTATGAGAATAAACAGTTATGCTTCCTTAAAAGCTTGTTGTAAATAGAGATCTGTAAGTCTTAGAAGTGTAAACAGTTAAAAAATAACTTTTATAAAGTCCAGAAGTCTAAATTTGCAGAAAAATTACAATTTATTTGTACTGATGTTAGATACACTGAAGAAGGAGAATGTACATATTGTTTTTACTGTATAAAACAAAGTTATTTATATGATAAATTTACCATTATAATAGAATGAAAAATGTGTTTATTTTTCATGAGGATGTAGGAAGTGGCTGGGAACTAAAAAAAAATTGGTATGGCAAGCCTAGTAATTTGTAGAAAAAAAATGGTGTTTTTTGGGAATAATAATTATTAGACATCTCTACAGCCATGAAAACTTTGAGGTCCACACAGATACGTGAATATTTTCTCCTGATATCCCAGAACACACAGAGTTCCCAGTGATTTCCCACTCGTAGATACACTCCAGCAGAAGCCCTCAGTATGAGATAGAAGGCAGACGATGGTTGGGACCAACAAAGCACCTGAGGTTTGAATTTGCACACATCCTTGAGCATCCTTTCTTTGGAGTTCCAGATTCTTCAAACTGCTTGGTACTATTCAGATTTGTTCCATAAACACAAGTAAATCGAACAAAAAAGCAAAATGACACTTAGTAGTAAAGCTGTTGGATAAATGGCATTTTAAATCATTTTTACCCCCATTGATAGAGATGTCTTTGGCTCACTGCTACCCGAGAGCGGTAATAAATATTTATAAAGTACTCTGCTGAGATGTTTGAAACATCACACTGCTCCAACAGACAATTTCAGGCTAGAGCGAAATGGGCAGGATAAAAGGTAAACAAAAATAAACTTCAGACTAGATCACTTGTCCACTTACTCTGTTCTAAAATAAACAAGAGTAACATTCTCAACTTCTACTGCTGGGTGGAACTTCCACATTACTAAAAATAAAACCTCCTCACAAGTTAAGTGCTTGGAAGAGTGTTCTTAATCCTCTACAGGTGAGGCTAGGAGTTTGTCTGGTATAGTTCCCCTGAACCTGGGAATGGAAAGCCAGGGTAGTTTTTTATTCTTTATGCTGTAGTTTATCTGTCTCTTATCAGAATTCTAGGTAGAAAAATGTTTCCATTAGGAGAAAGTTTCCACACATCCCTCAACTTAAAATCTGTTTAAAATCTCACAGCAGACCCACTGTTCTGGAGAGTATCACTATACTGGGAGTTGCAAAAAGGAGAAAAATCTGTTGTCTGGTGCTTCGGCTTTGACTACTTAGCAAATAAATAAATAAATAAATAAAAGTAATCTTGAAGGAATAAAGAAAAGTTAAAAGTGTCACTCACTTCCACCAATGAATATAACTATATATGGATATCCTTCAGTAAAAATAATTTGCCCCTTAGCCCAATTAACATGTCCAAATATTCGTCGTATAGTTGAAAATTCATTTTCTTTCTTAAACAAGAATTCTGCCTGCTGATCACCCATTTTTCCGTATGCCATCCTTATTATTTAAATGACCTTCCTTTTGATCATTTCTATTTTTGGGCAAATCAATGGAATTATTTTAAAATCTATCATATATAGTAAACTGCACTCCCTGTTTCAGAAATTCTTTTGAATTCTATCCTGATTGTCCTGGAAGGATGGTAGGGTATAGAATAGGAAAAAATATTTCTTAGTATTTAGTTTAGTTTCAACAAGTAGTCACTCTCACGAAGGACTCAGTTTGAAGACTCAGATACTTGGCAATGTTATTACCTTTGCCCCAAAATACAGCCTCTAATCTGCTCCTGTGGGGTCAAAGCACCCAAGCATCTGTCCCCACTTACCGAGCACCCTACCCCATCTACACAGAACATCAAACTCTTACCTTTTCCAATCTCTTGGCAGTTACTGTTGCTTTGCCTCAAGATCTAGATCTTATACATTTGAAGACAGAAACTCGTAATTTTGCATATTGGATTTACTTTGTCCTACACATATTTTTTTCTAATAGGGACACAGCCCCTTTTAATTAATACACAAATTTCACTCAATACTCACCACCCATCTCTCTCACTCACACACACACATACACACACACTCTCTCTCTCTCTCTCAGAACCTAATAACTGGGTCTCAGCCCTGATAAAATTTGCATTATGAAAATTTTACTCTAATTAGTAGATTTGTTTTATAGAACATCTTCACTAATATTTCGCTGTACCTACATCAGTGATATAGTTCCAGGACCAGCTATCTATTGTTGTTATGTGGGATTTAATTTAGTTTATTTGGCTTATTAACGAACTTATACTTCCTCCTTCCATCTCATGGTCTCTCCCTTTGTTCTATTCTTTTCTGTCTTCAACCAAATCCCTGAGTCTTTAAAAGAATTTCTCATTTTCCAACTAAATAAAATATGTGAAATTTTCAACATGTGAAAATTTCAAAATCCAACAAATGGCAATATTAGGCAAGTAATAAAAATACTAGATATATTGCTTTAAACCTGAAGAGCAAAAATTATTGACTTTATATATGTAGGTATATATGTATGTATGTTTGCATTTGACCTCAAACTATATTTTAAGATTCAAATCAAAATTTTAAGTCTCCCAAACACAGACACTTTTTAAAAGGCTTTTGCATTTTTCATACACATCATTCTAAAGGGGTTAACAACTGAAATTGTGCTTCTCTCATTTTTCAAAAGAGATTTATCAAAATGTGTTAAACACACAGGCAAAACAAAATAGATTTTAAAAAATTTAATGTATTATTACATTCATTTCCAGTAGAATACATTCCTGGCACTAGCAGGTCTATTCTTTGAAATGGCCATTCCTTCTATTTACATAGCTTTTCACCTCTCAGAGGCTGGCAATTTAAGAGTTGTTATTAAAACAATAATTTACATAGATGCTGGTTTTCCCCCAAGGATTAAATATCTAAAACAAATTGTATAACCATATTGTTGACACTTTATATTCTACTCTCCTATCTTAACATTATGAAAACCTGGAATTTTACAATGTAATCTTAGAATCTGTAAGTATTAAAAGTACATTTGAAATAAAACAACCTCAAGACACTCTATTTCATAAAAATCAAGGTACATTAATTTCCATATACTTCTGTAGCTTGGATTTATTATGTATCTAACTAAATGTTCTGTGCCAGTTTTAATTTGGTTTAAATTCTTGATACCAATAAGCTTCATTAACTCCTAAGAAAATCACTGTTCATCTGTAAAATAAAGTTTTATCTGACAAAGTTATCTTTTATTTAAGTTAAATAAATGTTAAGTATCTAAAATTTTAATTAACAATATTTGGTCAGTTAAATTTATTCTTATTCTTTTAATTTTGTCTATATATATTTGTAGTCATAGCTTCTAGTTCCTATTACAGGGACAACCGTCCTCTGCATTATACAGTACAGACTCTTGTAATTAATTAGTTATATAACTTTCACTAATTAGTTAAATTCACCTTTCACAATTTCCTTTTCCTTATCTATAAAACAAGAAAAGTTAATTTCAAATATTATCCTTAAGGTCTCTTCCAGTTTTAACATATATTAGTAAAGAGCCAAATTATACAAATTTTTATGTTCATATAATACCTTTTAAATGAATTTCAAAATAGCCTTATAAAATATGAGTTTCTATGTTACAAAATTGTGAATTACTATGTTTTGCTTTATCCAGAATCTTACTGATTCAGCTCTAAAATATACTTATTTTATCAAGGCTTCTTAGAATGTGTTGAAATAAGGTCAAAGCCCAGATA